GGGGGGGGGCTTAGGTAGGGGCAGAGAGGAGTGAACGCATGAAGCAGCTGGGGTCACACAGATCAGATCAAGGGGGACGAGCAGGCAGCTTGCCGTATCCTCAGGGACACCTGGGGGCCACCCTCCCACTCAGCCAGCAGGGCAGGGCCCTCACGCGACAGAGCACTGTCTGAACCCCACGGCTGAAACTGAGAGCCCGTGGAGGTGGCCTAGGCCAGCCCCAGCCCTCAGCGACCTGGTGGGGGACCCATCACACCCCACCTGAGAAACAGGTGACCTGCCTGATCACTTCTTCACCTGGCGGCCCAGGCTAGCATGTTCTCTTGAGGGGTCCCATGGGCCACCCGGAAGCCCAGAGACTTGCTCCTTCTGCCTTCCCCTGACTGCCCAGGTGACCAGCAGCTCGAGCAGCTATAGGACCCACCTCCTGGGACACACACTGGTCTCCCTCTCACCTTGTCCCCACCTCCAGCCTCCCAGGCTCCAGCAGAGCCACGTGCTGCCACCTGTTACAGGAGCATGGCCTCCCTGCCGAAAGGCCAGTCCTGTCTGCTCCTCTGCCGACCCTCAGGACCACAGCTTGGGCTGTGCCCACGGTGCCCTCATGCTCCCCGACACCAGGCCGGGCCTGCTCTGCCCTCCATGATTGGTCTCTGGGCATGTCTTTTCTGTGGGCACATGACACCACCATCTGGCCCTGCCCCCCATCCCTACCCCGACACACAAGGTCTGGGACTTTGGTGGCAACTGGGGCCTATGAAGGCTGGGGCGGGGGAAGGGTTCTCATGGAGCTGCCAGACCAGAGCGGACAAGGATTCCCAACGACCCTGCCACGGACAAGAGCGGAGCAGCACAGGCTCCCGGGAGCGGACAGCGACGGAGGGCTCAGTTCAAGCTCTCGCCTTCCCAGGGAGTGCGGGTTTGCCCCTGGCCCTGCCCGGCTGCCAGGGCGGGCAGTGGACTTCCTGGACAGGAACAAAGGCCTGGCAATCTGGTTCCAAAAACCACTGATGAAAAAAGGCCCGCCAGGCGACCCTGGAGAAAGTGCAGTGGACTCAGACCCCTGCCGAGCAGCAAGCACTGCAAGGCAGCGCCTCTCTGACCACTGGGCCACCCAGCAACATGGAGGGGTGGCTTTCCGGGTTGTCATCTTCATGGAAAGAGAGCTTCCTCCTGTGGGGAGACTGTGGCTTTGAACTGCCCACCTCTTGGCTAGCAGCCGGGTGTCATTAACCACTGAGCAACCGGGGCTCCTTGTACAAAGTCCAGCCCAGGAAGCTTGGAGGGTCAAGTTCTGATCTGTCATATGGCGTCACCGAGCGCTGGAGGGCACCCAACACACCCCGATACACTCCACCCACAGCATCCCCACGGTCGCGCAGCAGGGCCGTCCGCAGCCCTGTGCCGTGTTGCTGCCTCCAGCTTTACCGGCGGCAGAACCCTCCCTTTCTGACAGTCCATCAGGAAGCCACTAAGCCCCCTTGTATCGCTCTTTGACAGCTGCTTCCAGCGCTCAGCTAGGCGCCTGGACCATCTGAGGCCAGCCACTGAAACCCTCCACAGCACAGTCCTGCGCTGTCCCAACACCCTTGATGGCACAAAGCTGCTCTGTTATTAACAGTGTGCACCTACAGGAATCCCGGTGGCACAGTGGGTTACACACGGGGCTGCTGACTGTGAGGTCAGAAGTTCAAACCCAGCCTCTGCTCCAGCGGACAAAAACAAGACTGTGAGTTCCTCAGTAACTCACAGGGGCAGTTCTACCCTGTCCTGTGGGGTCACTGCGAGTTGGGATGGACGCAGGGCAGGGGCGCCCCTCCTGCCTGCCCCAAGTGCCTCCCAGGAGTGCACTCAAGTAATCCTCACAGCAGCCCCCCGAGGCAGCGTGGGCAAGTGCTCCGCTTGCTGACTCAACAGACAGGCACGGGGCAGTGAGTGGCAAGGCACTTGTCCCAGGCCACACAGTAAACAGCCAGGCCAACAGGAAACCCGGAACCAGCCGGCCCTGCTCCTCACCCCTCACCACCTCTGTGACTGCCCCCCCCCCATGTGGTTAACAGGACCCAAGAACTTGACTAGCAACAGTGCAGACTTACGAGAAGCCACGGGAGCCGTGCGTGGGTGGCTCCGTGGTAGAACCCTCGCCCTCCATGCAGGAGAACCAGGTTCGAGTCTCAACGTGTAGCCACCACCCTCTGTCCATGTTGTTACGAGACTGAACACGTTCCAGCAGAACTCCCAGGCCAGGTGGACTAGGATGAGCGGTCTGGAGATCTATTTCTGAAACTCAGCCCAGGGAAGCCCAGGGAACCCCACGGATCTGATGGCCCCAGCCCACCAGCAATCACGGGGCTGGGCTGGCCCACGCAGTGGCAGCTCACTGGGTAACCCTGGGAAAGGGTCGTGTCACTGGCCTCCTTGTATAAGGGGACCAAGGTGGGGAGAGTCCAAGTGTCACCCAAAATAACAAGAGCTGTGCTCAGATACCAGGCACCTGCGTCATCACGGTGACGCTCGTGCCCAAGAGTCAGAAGCTCCAAACGGGTGCAGGGGGCCAGTCTCCCCATGGAGTTGGCGTCTATCGCTTCAGTGAGCCCCAGGGCTGCAGGGGCACTTGGGGCCCTTCCTCGGCTCCAGCAAGATGGCCACTGCACCCCCATTCTCACAGGTGTTAGTTACCCTATCACTTCCACCTGAAGGGTGAGCCGCTCCCGACCCTGCAGACCAGCCCTCCCCCAGGAGCCCAGGGCAGGGCCACTGGTCCGGCTGGCAGGCCGGCGGTACTTACTTATTGTGGGGCAACCTGGAACACAGCGTCCGCAGGTCGTCTGGAAGGAAGGAGACACAGGTGAGACCGGCCTGCAGACATGGAGGCATACTCACTTGCTCTCGTCCCAGCACCGGGGGCCAGGCGACAGGGGGCCTCACTTGCCATTTTCCTGGGGAGCCATGATTAGAAGTGGCTGTGGTGTCTCTTCTCCATTGAGCAAGAATCGGGGCCCAAGGCAGAGAGCTGCTCAGGGGAGGGGACAACCCTGCTGGCAATCTGCCAAGAGCCTGGGACCAGGTCCAAGCAAGGTTTCATCCAACAGGTATGGGGAAGGGGGGTGGGGGTGGGGGGGCACGGTGCAGCCAGCCCACCAGAGCTCTGTGTGGTAGGGAATTGTCCTTGCTCCTCTCAGAGATGTCCTGCCCACCCCCCACTGTGCAGGTCCTGGAGTTCGATGCTCTGGGAAGAACCAGGAGGAAGGGGGTCTTATTTAGTGAGCACTCTGTAAGTCAGCCCCGACTCCTTCTCCTGGGGAAGCACAAGTGTTGAATGGCAGATGTTGAGAGACCCAGAACAAGGGAGGGGTGGGGGGTGGCTAGTGGCCTAGTTGCGGGGTGTGTGTGTGTGTGTGTGTGTGTGTGTGTGTGTGTGTCTGGAACCTGTCTCTGTTCCTCACTTAACCCAGGGCAACTTCTGGATGTGAACGATGTACTGAGGCCCCCGAAACTGGTGGTCTAGTTCAAAGCTGTTAATCCCTGGTCTGTGGTTCGAACCCTCTCAGCAACCTGCTATTACGAAAGTCACCACCCAGGAAACCCTACTGATGGTGCCACTTGGTCCCACGGGAGCCACTATGCAGTGGGCCTGACTCGCCAACATCAGCACCAACACCAACAAATGACGTCTTGAGCAGTCCCAGCAGCCCCCGGGGTGGAAGAGTCCGAGCTGGCTCACGGACACACACTTGATACCCCTGAAATCCACTGGGCAGTTCTGCTGGGTTCCAGGGGCCGTGTGAGTCACTATGGCCTCCACAGTAAAGCCCTCTGCTGCTAAGACCCTACAGGATCGCGGGATGGCTCCGTGCGTTCCCAAGGCTGTCCATCTTTCCGGGAGCGGCCAGCCCCTTCTCCTACAGTCCAGTGCCTAACCCGCGTGCTCCCGGGCTCCCTCCTCAATCAGTTCCTTTGAAGGAACTGCAGACTTCGAGGGAAGGTGCCCCAGCAGGGAGGTGCCCCGGCCTAAGCTGGTGGCACAGAGGCAGAGCCAGGGTGAGAAAGGGGGCTGCACCCACCTCGTGTGCACAGCAGGGCCCCCGAGGCCATGGCCACCTGGAGGGCTTGTGCGAGCCGGTCCAGCGCCAGCTCGATCTCCTGGGAGGCATTGAGGGGGTTCAGCTCGTCCGCCAGCCGGTTGATCTCCTCCACCAGCGGCACCATGTGGTCGAAGAGGACGAGGCCCAGGCGCCCGTAGAGGTTCTTCTCAGTCAGGTGTCCCTGCAGCATCAGCAGCACCTGCAGGACGCTGAGGTGCAGCTTAGAGTACAGGAGGTGAGAGTCCCGCTCCGAGCCGGGGGCGGCTGGCTCCTTGGGCGCTTTGTTAGGGAGGTGGCCGTTGGCCAGCGGGGGCCTCTTCCTCCTCCTGTACGCCAGGGGGGCCTTCACGCACCAGCGGATCAGGCCCGTGAGAGGGGTGAGCTCTAGAAAGCCAATGGGAAGATTGGCTGCGATCGGCGTGTTTAAAAAGGTGATGAGAACCAAGCGGGGGTCCTCGAGAATCCAGCTGACGATCGTCTCGAGCAAGTCCAGCGGTGGGATGAGGCCGTCTGCGAGCAAAGAGCCTGCGGGTCAGGGGGCTGGGGGAGTCCGGCGGCCTGTGGACGCCATCGCGCACCTTGTGACAGCCGCTGAGCCCACAACGCTTGGGCCGAGGCAGTGGCTCAAGACTGTCTGTTACATGCAGGAAGACTTCCTGACCCCTCCCCCACCCAGCCAGGACAGACAGTCCGTCCCACGTGCCAATCTTGCCCCAAGCCCAGCCGGTTTGGTCTCAACCTGCCCTTCTGGGTAGGATGTGTGCCTGAGTTCTGAGTTCACTGTCTCTGCCATGCAGGGTCCCGGCAATGGCCTGTCAGGGGCAGAGGCCACCACAGACACAGGCCCGGGCCCCTCGTCAAAGCACCCAAGCCCTGGCCTGGTCTACAGCCCAGTCCAGAACAAGGAGCTGGACGCCAACATTGCTGCCGCCTCGGCCTCGTCTCTCCCAGGGACGGCCTCCCAGAGCCCTCCTCAGCCGGGGCCTGACCAGCCCTGGATGAAGCTGAGAAACTGAAGCGCAGGGTGGCTGGGTCCTTGGTAAACGGCCTCCCTGCAAGTACGAGACGGGCCTGGTTCAGAGTCGGCCCCAGACTACTAGGTGGCACCACGCAGCAGGGCTGGGTGAGCAAGTCCCCTGGGCTGTGGAATGAGCCCAGCCCAGCCCTGGCAGGAGGGCATGGTTTCCAACGGCTCTTTCTCAGGACAGGCCTCTTCTCCTGAGCCTGTGACCGGGACCCTTGTTCGACCAGAGCCCTTCACCTTCTCTGGGTTGTGTGTGTGCTGTCAGGTCAGCATCGACTCACACAGGACAGGGAAGAATTGCCCTGTGGTGTCTGGATGGCTGACATGCTCACGGAAGCAGAGAGCTGCCTTTTCTCTCAGAGCCTCTGTGGGTTTGAACTGCAGAGCTTTAGGCAAGCAGCGGCGCGCTCAAGCACTGCAGCACCGGGGCTCCCGTCTTGCATAGGGTCTGTCCCTTCTGAGGGCTCTGCTGGTGGACAGGAAGAGGGGCCGGGCTGCCGGGCTCCCAGCAGAAGCTATATGACGTCCTGAGAACCTGTACTTGTGTCCAGCTAAGGTGGCCTCAGAAATGTCACGGTCAGGGACTGAGAGCCCCTCTAAAACATGGATGTATGTCCACTTGGCTGGGCCATGGCTTGACAGTTAAGCAATCATCCTGTGGGACGATCTGACTGACCAGTTGTAAGTGGATTAGTGAGGGAGGCAACACCCTCTCTCAGGTCAGAGCCCTGAGCTCCCTGGGGGGTGGCCTGCATCCCTTTCCGTCTAATGATAGACACAAAGAAAGACCTGAGCAGAGAAGGGCCCCCAATTTTAAAAAAGCTGGCGTGGAGCTTGTTCTTTGGACCTGGGGTCCCCACGCTGAGAACCTCCTAGACACAGGAGAAAACTGATGCCAAGGTACATAGGTCTCCAAGGGATGCAGGGCCCACAGGAGTTTAAGGAATCTGTTTCCATAAAGGTTTCCAGCCTTGGAAACCAAACCCTCTGGGGTGATTCTACTCTGGCCCTCCAGGGTCTGATCCAATTGTTCGGAAATCACTGGGACTCAGGCTGTCAATCTCTACGGGAGCAGACCACCGCATCAGAGTCCCTCAGAGCAGCTTGGTGGGTTCTAATGGGATTCCAACCACAAATACGTTGTTGTTCAGGACACTCCAGTCCTGTTTGGCCCATAGACCTGACCCCTGAATTGTTAGCCAACCCAGAGGGAGAAAAACCTTCCCCTTGAACTGGTGCCTGAATTCTGACCCCTGGGATGACTGTGTTGGTCAGCCACTGCTTGCGGTACCGCTGTTGGAGCAGCACTGGAGCACCGAGGAAGTTGCTACCCACAGGGCTGGCGGACAGACAGACGGGCCTTCGAGCATGAGGCACACACCCACACAGCACTGCCCCCTTAATCCAGGTTTCTCTCCAGGAAACAATGAGATAAACCCCGACCGGGAGACGTCCTGCTAAGCAGCCGGGGCTTCAAACATATCAAGGCCACAGGCCTTTTTGCAGATCACAGCCCTCCATGTAACCACGCTGACACCAAGGGCTCCCCCCACAGGTTGTCTTCCTTTGTTTCCCTGCTGGCAATTAAAAAAAACAAACCACAGCAGGTGGAAGCAACTGTGTATGCTGCATGAGACCTGACTGGACCCTGTCTTCCCTCCACTACCTAAATTGCGAGGTGGGGTGGGGTGGGAGGTGCTATTTAAGATATTATTGAGGTGATCAAGCTCTATGAGATGTTCATAATACCCCAGTAGCGGTACTCACAAGGAGCCCAGCTGGTGCAGTGGCTACCTGTTGGGCTGCTAACTGCAAGGTCAACAGTTTGAAACCACCAGGTCCTCCGAAGGAGAAGGGGCTTCTATTCCTAGAGAGGTACAGTCTCAGAAACCCACAAGGGCTGCTCTACCCTGTCCTATCGGGTCACTGAGAGTCGGAATGACTGGGTAGTTGTGAGCTTCGGCGGCACTCTCTGACTTACCACCTGACTGAGCTCCGGCAAAGTGTATTTGCCATCGTCCAGGTGGGTTTGTTTGCGTGGTCATTCTGCACATCTAATCACTAAGTACCATGCACTACATGTGAAGCCACCACATGCAATGTGTTATTCTTCTTCTGCCAAACCCCGAAGACAAATAAAGATGATGATCATTAAAGGCAACAGCAGGAGATCTCTTTTTAAGAGAGGTACTCGGCGTATGACAGACGGGCTGATGGCAGAGCCCTGGAGCAGAAGGCAGGTACCCCTTTGTGCCCTGGGGACGGACACCTGGACTCAATCTCTCAGGCATGGCGTCGATATCGGTTACGCCGGAGAGTGCACTTGCTCTCAGAGACACAAGCCACGTCCCACGACCTCCAGGACGTCTGTGTGCATGGGGGGTGGGGGGAGGCGACAGAGAGCAAGCGGGTGCCGGCCACCAAGTCTCGCCCGAGGGCTGGGCTATTCTCCCAACCTTTTCGGGTGTTGTGAAATCTCTCAAAATGAAAAGCTCCAAGTCATGGGAGAAATCAGGGCTTAGATACCAAGTCACATCGCCCTGGACCCTCTTTTGGGGGCAGTCTGCCCCTCTGACCATTCCAAGTGAGGGCACCCGAGGGAAAGCTCCCCTTCTTACATCGTGGCAGCCTGAGCGACCCCCACGCCCCCTTGGCTTTGGCTCTAAAATAAGCACACACCTTTCAGGGGAGGGGGAAAAGCGAAAACAAAAAAGCGTGAGGCGGACTGAGCGAAGACCGGGCTCCAGCTTACCTGAGGACAGGTCATAGAGTGTGGTGACAGACGTTACAAACTGGCAGCAGAATCGAGGGCTGGCACTGAAGGTTTGCTTCAGGATCTGCACGGACCCCGGCACCAGGCAGCAGTAGTCGTCCACGAGGGCCCGAGCCAGCCTCACGCAGTAGACCACAGGCGTGCGCTGGGAGGAGGAAACCAAGGTCCCGGTAACTGTGTGAGCAAGGACACCCTCCTCCGGTAAACGAAAAGCCCACCAGCACAAGCTGTCCTCTGGTGCCTCCCACCCCCACTGGTTTAGTTTTGTAAATCAGTTTTCGGAAAGGCACCCTTCAGCCTCGCTCCTGGGTTTGCCTGCTGTGGTCCCTATCTGGCCCTTCACAGGAAGAAGTGTGCTAACCAGAGCCTTCAAATTCATGGAGGAAAGGTCATGTCCCATGTCAGGTGAAATGATCATTTTTTGAGCCCTACCGCATTCCCGGGCTAACTCCCTAGGTAAAAATAAACAGGTGCTCCCACTCCGCACCTGTGAACGGCTACAAGGTTACAATGTCTGTCTAGAACTCTCCAAAAAGGAAGCAAGCTCACTGAAAGCAAGTTAGTTCTGACTCATGGCAACCCTAATGCAGAAGAGCCCCTGTGGGTTTGCGAGGCTGTCAATCTTTACAGGAGCAGAAAATCTCCTCTTTCTGAGGAAGGGCTGAGGAAACGGTGCTTTTGAACTGCTAACCTTGAAGTTAAATGTGGTCTAATGGATTAACTAACTGTGCCAGCAGGGCTTCTTAAACATTAACCTGAGTGGGAGAGAAAAGAAGTCTCACTTGCTCTGGAGATGGGAAGCTGGGGCACCTTTTATTTTACTATTACAAACGACAATCTTCTCAAGAACAGTTATGGGCGGTGTAGCCCAGCGACGCCAGGGACAGGGCCAGTCTACAGGCCAGGGATGATCAGAGGAAACAAATGTGGAAAGGCCTCTTCCAATAGAAAACTCCTGACTGTTGAATTCCCCATCAGAGACTCTCGGGAAGATTAGTTCCAGAGAAGTCCCGGAGCCGGGAGCCTGGCCAGCTCTGGCTGGGGCCAAGAGTGTGCACCCTCAACCACTAACCGAAAAGCTGGAAGTTGACGTCCACCCAGAGATGCCTTGCAAGAAAGGCCCAATGATCTACTTCCAGAAAACGGGCCGCTGGAAGCCTTACGGAAGGTATGACTCTGGAGTGGGAGACTTCAAAAGGTGCACCGAAAAAGAGAATTCAAAGATACTGGCATTTTCCACACAATATTTTTTTACAGATTATAAAATACATATTTTTTCTTTTATAGATGCTTACTTCCCCACAAACTTCCTGAAGCACTAAGACTGATGAAAATCAAAGGCATGTGAAGACAATTCGCGTACAGATCTCATCAACGGACAACGGGAGCCTCAACCACCTAGACGCACAGACCAGAAGAGCTAGATGGGGCCCGGCTATCGGATAGCGTGAGAGAAAAATGTGGACCAAAATGCAAGATCAGAAAAACATATCAGCCTAACTGGTCTTCAAGAGGCTGGTGGAACCCCCACACACACAGCTGTGGCCCCTAGACACCCTTCAGGTGGGGAACGGAACTCACTCATGGTTCAGAACTTGCAGCCAAACACCAACAGACCTATGAAGTCACACGTGGAGGTTTACGCTCCTTAGAATAACCCGCCATCTGAGATAAAGGGTGGTATTAGTTTAGGGAGCCAGTTCAGTGGGTGAGAAGGGCTTAGGAAGTGGGGGAGGGTGGGTCGGGTGTGAAAGTGGTAAACCCAAGAAGGGCGGGAAGAACGCCCACCTGTTCTGCCAACTCCTCTAAATCGCAACAAAAAAATTTCAGTGGTCACGAAAGTGTTTTTAAAGAGAGAAACGAACCCCCTGTGGAGAGCAGTTCTACTTGGACACGTGTGGGGGCGCCCTTGAACTGGAATCCACGGCAAGGGCAACCGGTGGTTTTACCTGGAGCCAGGAAGCTGCGCACTCCAGCACGGGGATCCGGCACACGGCCACCGCCATGGAGACCAGCTTTCCCAGCAAGCTCATGCGGCTGTCATCGGCCTTGTTCCCTTGGGGACTGAAAAGGGAGGAGAAGAGGATCTGCCGGACCGAGTCCTTGGTCTGCTCCTGGAAGTAATTGCACATGATTTCAAGAAGTTGAAGCTCTTGGAGTGAATTCAGTCTCTGCAAAACAAATCCAGGAGAGGCTGTAAGAAATCTGGTCCGGCCACGCTTACGACTGCAGACGAGCGCGGAGACGGAGCAAGGCTTGCGCTTCTCCAGGGGGAGGCTGAAGCCCAGGTCCCGGGAAGTTGTAGCGTTCCTCTACACTGTATCTTGGGAAAGAAAGGAAGAAGAAAGTAAAAAGTCATTCTCCCACCCCAAGAGAACCAGCCGAGAGGCCTTGGGAGGATGCACAACTGTTTGGGACCCTTGATGAGCGGGTAACGTTTTGGGTGCGGGGAGTGAGCAGCACCCGGCTCGCCGCAGAACAGGCACGCGGCTGAGCACTGCCTTCGGGCCGAAGCAGCCAGGTGCTCGGCGCCAAGGGGGGAGCCCCGGGCTCAGAGATGCGTCGGGGTTTGGCCCATCGCTGTAGCTCAGAGGGCAAAGAGAAAGGCCGGGTAAGGGCGAGGGGCGCCCCGGAGTCCCAGCTGCCGCACCTTGGGCTGAGCGCCGCGCTCCTTGGGCACCTGGAACACGAACTCCTCCAGCAGCTCCACGGGGCCCTTGTCCACCATAGGCAGCGGCGCGCTCTGCAGCTGGCTGCTGAAGTAGATGTCCAGGTGGTACAGCACCTCCTTGGCGGCGCTCAGAGCG